TTAGGGTTTAGGGTTTAGAAAACCTGATGAGGTTCGTGAAATGCGTGCTCGCGCCATCGAAGCCGTTCCTGGGCCGCTTTCGGGGGGTCAGTTCGTCTATGGCGGTAACATGCCTTGAAAGAATTGGCAATGCATGCGTTGGGTACTGCCTCCAATCATTAACAGATGGAAGCTAACTATACTATAACCATGGACCATATATAGCCTTTGATATAATCCCTATTATAGACTGCTAATGCGTGAGGGCAGGACCCAAGGCACACACCCCACCCCGTAATCAGCATTCCGAATGCCAGAGGCATTATACGTGGCGGGGTATTTGTACAGGGTACAAATCGGTCAGGGAACCTCATTAAACATGGTGACAGTGGGGGTTATACGGCATCTAGTATATTACCGGATTTGAAGGTCGGTGGAAATGCGTCTTCTTGAAATGGATAGGGAGAGGAGTCTACAGGGAACCCCCTTGATTGGGGAGGAGGATTTTAAGTTGCTGCTCTGGCTGCATGTGTCAGGTGTGAGGCTTTGGTGAATTCTAAGCCCTTCGGAGGGAGGTTTGTTCCTGTTCGCGGGGTGCCCGGATGCCGGTTCAAAACATTAAACTCTTTGCCCGCTTGTGCAGGGATGATTTTTTTAGGTTGTCGTGGCGTAGGGAGATTGGCTCAGCATTTCCCTGCTAGGGGTTTTAGGGTTTTCAGGACTTCCGGCCAGAAGTGGGACAAAGCTTGCTGGCCCTAAACCCTAAACCCTTTCTCTACCCCTTCCCCTCTAAGAAAAGTGCGGAGATCGCCAAGCAAGCAGGAGACAGACTCGACTGCTTAAAACTTGCATTTCCAAAAAAAGTGAGGGTCCTCTCCTGAGACTCTCTAGAAAAGGCTATTGGGTGTGGAAAGGGGCCCGACTCTTTAGACATACCCTCTGAGTCTCTGCTTGGCATGGGTATGTCCCTTTTTCTCCAGGATGTTATCATATTTACAGCAGGGTCCCAAAAGGGGTTCTTTGGACACCCCCTTTGTGATACTGTCTTAGGTCAAGCCCTGGATACAGCTGCTGGGCGATCGGCGGCAGTGCCCGGAAGTGAGGCACTGGTGTGGGGGCTAAATGGTACTACTGTGGGTATCGGCTTTTGGGCTTGGGCTAGACAATCCGGCCTGGTCGTGAACAGAAAATGGAAACTGCTATTTAGGGTCCAGGGGTTAAATTAGGGTTAGAGGGGCAACAGACAGCATCACAGGAAGCGCTTTTGCATCTCTAAGGATACGGCTACTTGGGATTCGTGTTCACAATGTAGGTGGCAATTTGAGACCCGCAAGCCTACCTAGGGACCGCAAGGAGATGACGAGGGCTTCCCCTTAAAGACTCCATTGATTTAGGGTGAAGGGTTTAGGGATAAGGGTTTAGGTAAATCTTTGATATTTAGAGACCCCACTTAGCTCCATGGGCAGGAAGGCCATGGAAGTTCTCCTCAGGGAGACCCGTGAGGAGTACGAGTCCACTCTGGAAATGTCCCTGGGCGGCTTCATCCTTGGGGAAGCGTTAGGGTGTAGAGTGTAGGGTTCAGGCTTAGCGTTGCTTGCTGTTGGTAGGCAATCACGGAATGCAGAATCATATGGCAAGTATTAAGTTTTGGGGGTGATATGGGCGCTACTTTGGGGATCCACTCCTTCACTCCCCACTGGGAATCAGTCACTGAGGGGCACTGAGGGGGTGGTGCGTGCCACAAACATGTCCAAACAAAAAGAGCTGCGTGCGTAGAATCCAGCTCCCCCAAAGAATAGCGTCGCCCACGCCATAGACCCTATGAACTGTAAAAGCTTCAAACCCTGCAGCCCCAATCCTGATGCCCAACCCCAGGAAGACAGCAAAGGCTGAGGTTGTCCAGGAGCTGCAGGCACTCTGAGTTCAGGGCTTTAGGGTCTTGAGGTTTACGGTTTTGGGGTCCTGGTTTTTGGGGTGTACGGGTTCAGGTCTTAGGGGCTCTTATTACCAAGCACCCCCCAAAGCATTAAATACTCCCCATTATGGCTTTGTATGATGGTTTCAGGAAGTATTTCCTACAGGGGATGGCATTACCCTGGGTACCAGGTACCAGGAAGTCGCCCCCGTGAAGGATTGCCAAACACGGATGTAGGGATTGAGGTCGCGGCATGGGGTTCGAACCGCGTAGCAGACAGTCAGACCCGAAAAGCAGTCAGGCAGTGAGACAGTCAGGTAGGTCCCTGCAGGAGCCTGCTCAGGGACCAACAATCCTGCTTCCGAGACACTGTCTGACTGTCTGCCTGCGGGGTCTGACTGTCTGCCTGGCGGGTCTGAGGGTCTGACTGTCTGCTTTTCGGGTCTGACCGTCTGCTTCTCCTTTCGGGGCCCAAACGCACGCTCTCTCTTAGTGGGGGTTTCTTAAACATTATAACTGATGCTGGGCCCCCTTTTTCTGGAAACTCAAATGTATGTCGTCCATAGCCATCCCGGAGCCCGGGGAAGTTGCATGCGCCCAAAGTTGATAGTCTATTGGTTTGGCCTCAACCCTAGACCGAAAAACCCAAAACTCAAACCACATAAACACGAAACCCACTATAGTAGTTCGCCCCAATTTCCTAGGGTGTAGAGTTTAGGGTTCGGAGTTATGTTCCAGACTTCCGCTCGTTGCCCATGAGACCCATGCTGGACGCTTAGTCTTTTTGGCGGAAGTCCGTGAAGTCGAATGTGTCAAATGGCAGTGGTTGTAGAGTCAGGTTCGTAAAAAAAGGTGGCTTGCGGGGAATAAGGGGGCTATGATCCCTATATACCCAATATATGATATGTTCCTGTATTCCCTACTATGTAACCCCAATATATACCTTATTGTAATGTAGCAGCTTCAATTTTCTTCTCCATTTATTATCACTATATAACCGCTTTAGGACATATTCCCTTATTCCTTACCAACCCTTAACCCTAAATAGTAGTGTCATTCCAACCTATATTATGCCCCCCATATTCCCTTATAACAGAATCCCTTGTTCCCTACTATTTGACCACCAGTTCGTCTGTTGTGTCCTACTGTGAGGAAGGGAGGTTGGAGCCTTGAAGCGCGAGCACGTTGTTGGGCTAGGGCCACTGCTTACGGGGTTTGCAGGAGTAAGGGAATATAGTAGATGTAGGGATTATATAGGGATAAGATTCCCTTATGCACTACTAGTAGGGAATAAGGGAATATACTATTTAGGGACCATATAGGGAATATGTTCCCTTATGCCGTATACTGCGCACCAGTAAGACTGTGCCAGCTTTGGATCGCTCGCTCCTTGAAATCCGAGCGCGCCTTTTCCATCGAATCAGTGGGCACTTTCCAAAATTAGGGTGCCAGCTTTTGTACCTTAACCAGATGTCACACTACGCTTGGTAGCAATCATGTGCCCATAGCTTTGAGAATAGCTGGCATCTACTTGCGAACCACAGAACAGACCCTTTCTTTCTGAACTTCCGTTCCAGAAAAGCCCGAAAGCCATCAACCGACAACCTTGAATTGGTAGCTTCCATACATACGGGAATCCCAATAAGACCCCAATAAAATCGCTTACCAGAATCCTTTTTATGGGGACTACCAAGTTGGTTCCCCTCGTTGTAGGACATTCCCAATTCTGAACCGTCGCAAACCCTAACCCCTAAACCCTAAAAGCCTAAAACCCTAAACCCTAAAAACCTAAAACCCTAAACTCTAAAAGCCAAAAGCCCTAAACCCTAAAACCCTAAACCCTAACTCCCAGTTGTGAATCATCGCAGAGCAGACAGTTGCCTTTCAATTGTGCCCCGGACAGCACAAATATGTTAGTGGCAACTCCACAATATACTTAGGCACTGATACAGGGCGTGTATGGGGCTTAAGCAGGGATTATGTAAGGGTCTACCTTTATGCGCCCATACAGCCTCATTGAGAATAGTATCCCTAGATACCATGATAACCTAAACCCCATACAGTGCCTGTATAGACCCTACCCACACCCTAAACCCTAAACCCCAAACCCTACACTTCCCTGGCTCATCTGGAGGACAGAGCTAGCCAGCAGGAGTGGATGATCCGGCAGCTGGTCGTCGCTTCCTCGGACTTCCCTTGATGAAGACCTTTTCTGGGCTGCTGTTAAGGAACTCAAATTGTAGTCCCCCTTAAGTAGATAGAATATGGCGTTGGGTATGTTGAAATAAGAGCCCAATATACCCCATCTCCTATCTACTTAAGTGGGACTATAAGTCACTATTTTAAGGACACCCCCCTTATTTACTATATACCGATGATATGGTGATTTTATTTCATTTCCTTAACAGCAACTGTTTTGGGTTTAGCGCCTGCTTGTTTGCTTATATAGAGTAGTGGTGCAAAGGCGATGGATAGCAGAGATCTGGACCTTCAATGTAGGCTTCAGCTTCTTCCAACTATTCCTGGCTTTGCTCGCGGTCATTTGTTCATGGTCACCATCAGTGGCCGGTTTGGCCAGGCAGGTTTCTAAACGAAATTTAACGCTGACCCATGCATTAATAAGCGACTGTCAACCGGCGTCGCTGCACTGGGAGGAAACCAAGGTAAGCGCTGTTTCCAGAATGGGTGGCTTCTCAACATAGGCAGGGCCGAACGCTATAGACCTGTTTGTGTCCGAAAACGTGAAAGCATTTAAATGACAAGGCCACAGGCTGGCTTAGAAGGCCCTCCATCGCGAAAGTTCGCAATGGTACTCGCGAAAGGAACTTGAATGAGAGAATTTGGCAGAACCACCATATGGGCCACTGTCAATACTAGCTGTATACCAAGGGGCCATTCACGAGGGGTAGTCAATAATAAAGAAGTTCGGAATAGAGCGGACTTGCGGCCCAACAGAATAGTACGGAATTCGGGCAAGGCAGAAACGGAATAATGGCATGATTTGAGTTGAAAGCCCGGAAGACCGAAAAGTTGAGCCCTTTACCCAGAAACCAATTCTATTTCCGGATTGCGATTTCATCTTTTCAATTTCCTATAACTTAAACTGCTATACAAAAAAGCCTTGCAAACCATCCCTGTGAGCGGTAGCATATCTAATGGCCCTCAAAAGGGGTACGGAATTATCTGGTCAATGCCAGGCCTGGGCCTCAATCTCTGAAACCTAAATTAGACATTTTAATCCATTATGCGGATTCCAGATTTCGTTTAATCTCTAAAGCCGAAATTAGATATTTCATTTCCAGCGCCCGCAAGAATCCTTCCTTGGAATTCCGCCTAAACCCAGGCTCCCCGCCCCCCCAATCAACCTTTCCCAAACTTAATTGCGATGGCCCTTCTTTTCTTTTATGGACTCGTCTAATTGCTTGGAGGGCTGATGTCGCGAACCCCCCATCAAGCATGGACGTACGGGCCCCTTTAATAGTTTTTGAAAGTCCCTGACATGTTCCCTAATATGGGCCCACATCATTCCACTGCATGAGGAAATTACTCCCCAGAATACCATGCACAATCCCATAATCCCAGCTTCCGTTCCATGATCCAATGTCCTTTCCCATTTGATTTGAAGCGCAATAGTTTCCATTGTCTTTTCCACAAACTACATGAGGAAATATCGACTGCAGCTCATATGTCCCTATACAACCCTTGCTAAACCCTAAAGCCTAAACCCAACACACTAAATCCTAAACCCCTAGTCCTAGACCTTAAAAACCTAAACTCTAAATCCTAAACCCTAAGTCCTAAAACCTAAACCCCAACCCTTTGACTTCGTCGCAAAGGACGTTGTTGAGATCTTGGAGGATGCTCTCCTTTGCCATGGCCTTGGAACTGATCTTCTTGCTGGTTGTTAGTGGTCTAGGTTTAGGTTTTCGGGATTAAGACTTGCTTAGGATTTAGAGTTTAGGTTTTAGGGTTTCGGGGTTAAGACTTAGGGTTTAGGATTAGGGTTTAGGTTTTAGAGTTCAGGACTTGGGGTGTGTAGGAGTTAGAGTTTAAGTTTTTGTTGGGACTTAGAGTTTAGGCTCAGATCGCTGCAGTAGCCCCTATAGATTCCCAATAGAACCGTAGTTGGAATTTTCTTTTGCATTCCTCAATTCCAACCAGTAGGACTTGGGTGGTAGCACAGATTCAAACGGGTACTTCTCAAAGAGGTGTCTCAGCAGTATAGTCCTCAGCGTTGGAAGGCCAAATGTCAGGCCGATGACCCCACTCCATTGAAACGCGCTCCATGACGTGTATGTTCTATATAGCTTCCTACCTACACTCTTACAGCCTTTATTTGGAGTACCCAAGTTTGAGATTTCTTAGCTATGAAATTCGGTACCCTAAGGGGGTACAGTAATATGCTCAAGAGGCACGCCAAGCGTGCCGGTCGACCTGGAGCTTTTTTTCGCTGACGTTCTTGCCCAACCAGTATCCGAGGACTAATGCCTCTAGTGCAGTTTGCAAGAGTGCAGACGCAGAAGCCCGGTTTCGTTTGCTGCATCAAGCGACGTTAGACGCTCTTGCAAGTTGAAGGTCTTTACCACGCTTCTACGAAAAAAAAATCTTTGCAGAGAGCAGGAGCTTCGGACACGGTCCGTGTCCTGCCTTCGGGTTCTGTCGCGCTGCGGCGCAGCAGCGAGGTGCTTCCCTGAACATGTCCAAGGGTTTGAATGGCAGTCTCTCAAAACAATGCCTGTGCAAGCCCATTTTTACACAGACTTAGGGCCTAGGGGATCGCGCATAGCGGTAGCAGAAGGGAAGAGAAGGAGTGTAATGTGGTGAAGATACCGCTTCTGCAGCATTAGTAGTACAGGACCAGATTCTTAGAGTTCTAGAAGCAGGCGTTTTCTGTTAGTAAGAGGGGCCTCAGGATTCAGTACTAACCGAAGCAGCAAAATGGAGTGTCCCGCCTGCAGGTCTGAGCCATAGGAGCTTTAATTCCACCCCATGACAAACCTATAGTCCTCCTGAGTACATAGAATATGGCTTTGGGTATGTAATAATAAGATTTCCATGAACCCCATATGCTACCTACTTAAGGGGGACTATAAGCTCGCTTTTTCCTGACCACCCACTGCTGAATATATAATTCACGCGAAAAAGAGATCCCAGTCACCACTATCCCTTGTGGTTATCATTGGTGGGTGGGGGAATCCTAAACCCTAAACCCTATAGACCCTAAACCCTAAACCTTACTTCTTTATCTCCTGGCCAGGCGCGCCTTGAACACGCTTGGCGTGGCGTGCGGCAGCCGCCCCCTGAGCTCAGGACTACGTGGCTTTTTTAAAGCTTCAATTATAAGATATTGGCCTAATACTGCAAGGTTCCTGAAAATTCATTAATTAATTTCTGTTACCAACAATCCTAATATTTAGCTGAAATTGTGATTTCTACTGGGGTTCCAAATCCCTTAGAGAATATACTTCCTAATAGTAGTCACCGTATCTCATTCTTTCGTTTCCCACTAACCGCCCGTGCCCTAGAACTTACATGCTATAGTCGTCCTAACTTCAACTAATCGTGAGTCGCTTAAACTCAGTATGGCTAAAGTCTTTCTAAGGAGGACATCAGACTTTCCTTGCGTGTCCGGGTAAGGGGATGTCCTTCCGCTCTGGATTCCGGATGGGGTTGTCCCAGATTGGTTGGCACAGCAGGCTGTGACCCTCAGCCCAAAGTGCAAAATGACAAAAGAACATTTGAGACCATACATGGTGAACCAATGAAAAGTGGCTTTCTGGGTTGAACTCCAGTCGCCTTGCTTGGCCTCAGAGGCGACAGCGCAGCAGAAGAGGCTGACGTGACCCTCGAAATGCCGGACATGGAGGCACGGCAGGGATTTCCAACTGGGTGCTTCAAATAGGGGAACTAAAAGATGATAAAATATTTAGTAGTAGTTTGGAGGCTTTATATGTTGTAAAATGGTTGTCAGCGTGGCCAGGTACCGCCTTTCTGCACAGGAGTACAGGTTTAGAATACAGCCATACTGGCTCACGGCGTTGGCGTATTGTAGCGTGTTGCTTGAGTGCGGGGTGTACGTTGTACCGTTTTGGGGTTGTAGATACTCGGGTCCAAGCGTTGGTGTGTAGGACGGTTACTTGGCTGATTCTCAACGATTGCAAAAGCAAAAGTCTCAGGGTTTGCATTTTCGGCTTAGGAGACTGTATGCACAGAGAGTCTTGTAGTTACATGCAAACTGACACTCTGAACCCTTCTCAACGCTTGTCTTAGCTTTAAACAATGTTTACCCTCCCCAAATTAACTAGAACCTGAAAAGTTCAGCCCTCATGGACTACTATCCCTTCGAAGGGCGCCTACAAAGGGTTCCGCCTTGCTTTGGGGGAGGCAGTTCCCTTTCAACTAGAATCCCCTTTATGAGACAAAGAAGGCCGACGCACCCTTTCCGCCCCCACAAGACTTTGAGTGCTGGTATATGCTTATCCCTAACGGTCCAAGTATCCAATAAGTAGGTACTTGAGATTTTGGTAATCATAATTTTAGTACAGATTTTGGATAATAATATGATGATTGGGCACTTGGGCCCTGAGGGTAATGTAATTACACCCCGAGCAACCCTAGGACCAGTCCTGCCTCCGCTGATGTGACGTGTGGGGTTTGAAGCCTTTCAGGGAGATTTGGGGGCTTCTTAATGTTGTGGATACGGTGCTAGGTCTGTATGCTACGGATAGAAGGCGTATAGACGGAAACACGTAATCACTCAAACCCAGGAAGCAATCTTCGTGAACATCCCTGGTCTATGCTTTCTCAGCAGCCCCTAGATACAGATTATACGTAGCTGCAACCAGACATAGTTGAAAGGAGATTCTATGAACTCAGAATCCTGCTTGCTGTTGACTGTTGACGGAAATCTTGCTCCACCCCAAGCACTTTCCCACAGATTGAAGTACTTTAGGAGCTCTAAGTGGTGCAAGATGTTCTTCCCCCTGAAGCCCTTAGCCAAAAGCCCTCAACCAGAAACCCTACACCCTGAACCCTTAGCCGTAAACCCACATCGGGGGCCCATCTTGGCAGGGAGCTTCCATGCCCCTCGGCAGCTTCCCGCTGCACCTAGGGCGGCCGGAAACCGAGGAGGCGGGGCGGCGGACGTGAGCTGAGAGGGTTTGTAGCTGAGGCTTTGGGGGGATAAAGGTGTATGACAGGATTATGCTGGGCTCAGTTACTCATGGTGGAGACCAGGCTAAGGAACAGGAAGCAAACCAAATCAAGTCCTTGTTGAAGTGGTTTCAGTGCATCCGTCCTAAAAATCCTTGAGGCCAAACTTGGAGAAGATGGATTCCCACCATTATTGGATCGCCAAGTAAAAGACCTTTTACCCAGCCCCCCCCCCTCCAAAAAACAAATCAGGTAGTCCTTCTCAATCAGTCCCACTAGTATTGGATCCTTAACTAAAGGCTTCTTACCCCTAAACCCTAAATCCTAACCCTAAATCCTAAACCCTTAACCCTTAACCCCAAACTCTTAGTCCTTGTGCTACCAGGCGCAGACATCCCCGGGCTCCGCAACGGCTGCGGCCACGCCGACATCTCCGTTGGAGGAAGACGAAGTCCTGGAGGTCGGTCCTCAAAGGGATGCGACTGGGTTTTGGGTTTTTGGCAAGGGGTTTCATCTGCATCCCTGAAGATGAAGCAATGAAGCTCCCGCCCCAAGTTGTAGAATGAAATCATTTGGGAAGTATTTGTGATTAGTGGGTGGTGAGGTACAGTATTACGTTAGAAGGGATGGATGTAAAAGCTTGAACAACTAGGAACACACAATCGTCAATCCTTCTAGTGGAATGTATCCATATATCCTCCTAAGCCTCGTTCTAAGTCAGGCTTGCATTATTCAAGTCTTCAAGTTTAAAGTACCTTTGAGTTCAGGGTTTAGGGCGAGTACCTTGGGAACTGCCCTGTCTGGAGGAGACGGAAGGTGAAGCCGATGAGGATGCTGCAGCCGAGGACCGGCGTCGGATCCGCTTGAGGAATGGGTCTGAAATCCTCCAAACGGAAGGATCTGGTCCTTATTGCAGGGAAAGGTTATAAGTTATAAGTTGTTGAATTTAGCCTCTGACAAGGGAGAGCTTCACAAGGTTCCACTCAGAATCACTGCTTCTGATACGAAGAGTTATGTTCTGGTTGTTTAGGGTCACACGTGTAGTTCTGCAGAGGATGCAAGAGAGTATTTCCTGGTCCTGCAGCAAGCTACTGGGTCCTTGTTGCTTCGTGTGCCGAACCCAATGGCCCT